TCGAGTCATACAAGGATGGGAATATTCGTGATAACGTCTGGAAGGCTATAGCTGGAAAGTTAAACAAAAGTGGTTAGTTGTTTACGTTTTTATAATGCATATATCATTCATAATACAATATAACAATATATACAATATAACGTCTGAAATACAAGCTAAGAACGACATATATAACATTTTAAGTAAATATGAAGTGATTCAGATGGATATGCAAGAAGCAACATCAGTGACAAGTGGGATGTCCAACCCAAGTACATCTGAGGTATGAGCATATTCTCCTAAAAGTACTGCCTCGACCCCCCAACCAACCAACTTAACGGTCCAGACACAGTGTACTACACAGAATGAGCACTGATGACAGTAAACGCAACAGTAATGTCATATAATTGTCCACTTTGCTGACATGTATTGTAACGGTCCAAATTACATCTTCTGCTGAGGTAATTTGATCCTACCATTTAGTTCTTTTATTATTTTATTAGGCTGAATTTCTTTTTACTTTTCGTTTCAAAATTCTAACTTGTTGTGTTTCGAGGGTAATACTGGGATGTTTACTTCTAGTTCATGGCATATACCTAACTGTTTAAGACAAAGACGTCCGAGGACCTTCGGTTCCCAGGAGTCTTGTGTTTCTACACCAGGGCAATAAACTGTCGTGAATTGGTTGTAGTCCCAAGTGTCATATTATTATGGCGGAAATGTGTAGAAAGTTAGTTAGACTTGATGATTCATTGTGACTCAGCAGATAATGTTGCTGGACCTTATGCATTAAATAGGTTGAGAGAGGACTCTTCAACAAACTTTTGAGGTAGCCGCACGCAAACCCAACAGTTCTGAGATCATCGTCTTGTGGCTAAAGCCAAGTATTATCATCTGCACATATGTATTCATTCTTAAATAATTAAATTGTGTATAAATAAAGTATTATATTCAGCGATAAAGGAAGCCTCTCGTTGTCGGGAGTTACATACCGTTAACACCCCTGAAGAGAGTCAAGTGATTACCAAGGAGCGAAGCTCCTATAAAACTGAGCGGCTATAGTATGTATATAAATTTATATGATCCTGGAAGAAAGTCTATGGGCATCAAATCCAGTGATACAGAAGGGCAAAGGAGTATGCTTCCCAATCTAACAAACAGCTAGCAGTGCATACAACAGTCAAATTGAGGTGATACATATTCTTTCTGAAAATCTAGACATCTTCCAATTGTAAAGAAACAAAGTCCTCCAAACAAATGTGACAAAATTTTGCAAATATATTAACAGTTGTATGGAGGGTAGCCATGTGAAAATAAGTTTTAAATGTCTTGCAGATATTTCATATAATCTAAATGTTGAGTTTAGATGGTGGTCCTCTGGGATGTTGTGATATGTAGTCTTTCAGATGTATACCACTATGTCAGAGAAGCTCACTACCTCCATCTTCAGGGCTAAAGTGAGGAGGTTCAAGTCCAAGTCACTTTCTGATTGATGGTCAGTCTGCAAGTCCATCTCAGTGTTAAGCTCCCTTTGGTACCTGTGAACATTTGCATTTTCATGATTTTGTATACCCTCTGCTTGTTGCTGCATAATCTAATTGTGCTAGCCCACCCCAACTACAATAAATTAGACATACATACAGAGTGCATAACAAAAGTTGCACATTAAGGCTTAGCCAAAATTAGATTTTAACGACACTTGGAAGTCTGAAGGTCGTTCACTGCTGACAATATGGCTACTCATACCCACAATACAGCAGACCATGATGGGTCTAAGAACTGCCAAAATAAAGGACAACTGCATTGCCCCTCTTATGAGAGTAGTGTATGGAATCATCATGAGAAAATAGGGCTTGGAATGTGCAGCACACTCTGCATTCTTCTATTTGTCTGACCTCTCACCTCGACAGTGAGGAGATGCCAAAATGAAAAAAAGAAACTCACTTTGCTCCATCAAATGTAGTTAGGAGAACACACGGGGCTAAATAGCATCAACAAGGGCCAGCTGAGTGAGTCTGTCACAAGGCAGCCAATGCTAGTGCCCTCATCACTTCAGTCCTAAAGATGGAAGCACTGTGCTCCTCCAAAACATTGGTATACAGTCAAAAACTAGAGTACAACAACCCAGAAGTCCACCATTTACAATGTCAATGTCATTACAACTGCTGGAAAATGCTTTTCAGAACTACATACATGCACTAGATCAGTGGTATTCAACCTGGGGTACGCGAAGACATCTTAGGGGGAACATGAAATTTAAAAAAATATATATTATTTTATGATAAACACTGAATAATCAGTAATGTAATTTATTTAATTTATTTTAGATGTAATTATATACTATGTATAACTTGAATTATACACCAACAACTTTGGGGGTACAAAGTTGAAGAGAAATTATATCTGGGGGTACGTGAACAAAAAAGGTTGAATACCATTGCACTAGATCAGCTGACCAGAGGAATGACCAACATATATTACAAAGAAAAGAATTGCAATATAGGTTGGAAATTCATTCATATATGTAGTGTAGTTGGGAACAGTAGTCATGATGTCTTTAGGCACTGAAAATAGCTTCATTAAAAAGCACATTGGTACTAATCACTTGGCATCTAGAACCCTTTCCTTTCCTGGTTGGAAGAATCTAACTGAATAAAATCCCAAGTTGTATGTGATGACAGTACTAATACTGCATATTTTCTCAAGACAGCTGGTCCACCAATGGAAGCAGAAGGTTGGCATGACTGAGATGGCTGGATTAAAAAAACACCTTTAAAATGTTTCATTTAAGTTTATGCAGCTTAAATACATAATCATCATTGATAATAGTATGTGCTGAGGAATACAAAATGTTGAATTATACAATTTTATATACAAAATTACAAAATGATCTAGCAAATACAAAGCCAGTGTCTGAACACAAACTCATCTTTACCATAGCAACAGACATTCAACCCAGTCTTTGAAAAAAATTACACTGAAACCTCATCATACATAAAATTGATTTATACTGTCTGCAAAATGCAACTTTAAGTGCACTTAAACCAAGAACCATGAGATGAGCAAATAGAAAGTCATTAAAGTTAAAAATGTTTAAAATTATGTTGAGAAATTAACAAGGAAAAAAGTGTGTTGAGTACCTGAAATATTATTTTAAAGTTGTATTTAAAGATGGTGACAATTCCTGTGGTAAATTTGTATGAATGTATTGTCTCATATAATTTGTACAGATCTGTCTACAAACTTTTCTAATTCTGAAAGCTGTATGCACACATTAGAAAACAGATTTGTGAGTATTGGATTTGCATGTGAAATTGAGAATAAACAGATACTGTAGCAAACATATGGTTAACAAGTTATTTAGACTGCAACTGGAGTATTAAAATACCACTGTACCAGTTTATTGTGGCAATTATTGGAAAAATAAACCCACAAAAAATATGCAAATATTGGCCATGAAGCTACTTATTTTACCCTCTCTGCCTTCTTCAGCAACAAGAAGCTATACATTCCATGGTTCATTAATGTATCAAAACACAGTAACATGAATACAGCCAAGAACAAAAAATGAAGGCGTGAACAAAAAATAAAAGGAGAGTACTGAAGAAATATGTTGTCACTGCTGCACAGAAATGTGCTCAAGTTATGTAGTGTTTTTACTTTCATGACTGCACGTAAGTACTGTTCATATATTATGAAGTACTATCAATATTTAAAATAAAATAACAGAATTTTAATCTAAGGGTACAAGTTACACACCTCAGCTTCAACAACTGAGCCCCCTCCGCCAACCAATTAGTGAATCCATAAACCTAACAACCAAAAATGATACCAATGTTGAATGCATTATAAGACCTTTACAAGTACATTCATTTTCTGTAAGTTATTTCTTAACAAGAATCCTCAATGAGATACCTAAAATACAGCATAGAGCAATTCTCACCCTTCCATCGAAGCACTGTCAAATGATTGCCAGACATTCAGCCATACATATTACAGTTTTCTCTCTTGTGGTTTTGAGTTATTAAGCTTGACGATGAAGTGAGGTTTTTCCTCCCTCATCTTACACATATATTAATTTCTATTGACTTTCATGACAATTTTGAAGTTTCAAATGTAACCTCTTCCAATTTTAATATGCTTATCCTACTGTACAATGAATAGAATTGAAAGACCTGTCAAGCATGTAAGATTTTCAAAAACCAATTTTACATAGAATTATGGGGAGAAGTGTATATAATTTGGATTGTAATCTTGGTTCAGATAAAAATACACTTAGTACCATACGCGTTATGACCTCAAGAGATCATCAGTGGCAAAAACATTAATAAATGTGCAACTAAACGTTCAGTGTGGTATTAAATGATGTATGGTTTTATAAAGTGTGACCTTTTATTACTCAGTGCTTTATAACAAACCATCTTCTTATATATTGTATGAGTTAATAGACAGAATTAATGTTTTTGCCACTGATGATCTCTTGAGGTCAAAACACGTTTGGCACTAAGTATTTTTCAAAGTGTAAACAGTTTTGTTTGTATGCATGAGTTTATACATTTTAGATAAATATTCAACACTGCACGGCATGCAAGGTTTTAAGTTTATTCATATGAAAGTGAACCTGAAGAATGAAATGTAAAATTAAACATAGAATCGCGTGTTTCATAATTAAACGACTATTAATAGTAAGTCTGTGCGATGTTTCTTGTTTATTTTGAAACAGTGACATACTTCTGTTTTACACTAAACACTCTTAAGGTGGTTAAATTAAGGATGCTGAAATCAAACGGGCATTTAAAATGAATGGATAAGATAGGAAGTGCTTACAATATTGTGTTTAAAATATCTCATTAAATCAAGTGGGACAAGAATATTAAAAACTGATCTTACATAAGTTAATTGCAAGGATGTAAAATAAACTGAAGAGGATCACAATAGGAAACTTTACATGTTTTGTTGTGACTGTGATGAACATTTGTTCCACTTCAAAGGGGAAGTTCCTGAATTGTTGAATACCCACAATCTGTTACGGAATACCATCTGAAGAGAACATTATAAAAACAGAACTTTTTATAAATGCTGATACTGAGTTTGTGTTCAGATCCATATGTAGGGATAACACGACAATTTTAGGAGAAAAATTTCGGCATACAAAAATCAAGATGTGTCATCTTTACAATAAATATGGCTAAACTTTCTGAATAGGGCTAAAGGTGTATCAAAGTACACTAGACACTGACTAGAAGCAATTCATTCACTCTTCTCAAATTTGGAAATGGTTTTGATATGTGTAAAAATATATATGCATCAGACTTCAGCATCTTCACATTTGAGGTTATGTCACACATGGTAAAAGCTGCATCAGAGGAAGGACATAGGCATCTGCTGCCTCACTGCATGTACTGGCTGATTGCAAATTTCATTTTGGGATTTCATTGAATCACTCCACAGTCAGACAAAATTTGTTGATTTACCTCTGTACTTCTAGAAGAATGCTGAAATAGTATTTTACGCACTTCCTTTCCACTCTTGTTTCTATCACTACACATAATTGTCATTTCATATTTTTCTATCTTACATAACCTCAGCACATTTTACAGCATTTTAATAATTTCAATGTCAATATGACATGCTCAGGCCATGCCCATATTCCATATAGCATAAGCTTAATTTTGCTATGTTCTTGGTCACTGTTCAGTATTCTTTATACTTAAGGACATGGCATTTACAGTATTCCATTTAAAACAATAAAACTGTTCTTTTCATTACTGCCACGAATGAAAGAATATCAAGTGGGTCAGAAAATTTCATTTATGATGCACTGCAGGCAGCTATTCTGTCAAATTATACATAAGTGACAGAGTTCAGTTACCAACAGATACAGAACAATAGCATCCATCTTTTGCTGCATATAACTGATTCCCTTTTTTATGAAGCCTGACATCTGCTGGGACATACAACAGTCAATCACAATAATAAGATGGGGACAGCCTTCAGTTACAGCTCAGCAGCTTTACAAGACATTTGTATTGGAGCAGTTCTGTTGCCATATTTGATCACTTGCCAACACTTGTGAGTTTAGCTCTGTACCGCATAACCCGACCAAAATTGGCCAAGCCCACAAATAGTTGGCCCAACCCACACTTCCCAACCAGTTGCATAACATTTTTCTAAGTGGTTTTTACTCAAGCTCCATTAAGAAAAGGAATCTGCTATAGCAGTGTAAAATATTATATTTCAAATTGTTAAATGATTCACACAAAGAATTCTTTGAACTGTAGTTCTTGGAACTGCTTTTAAAATCTCCATATTGGACTCTGTAATCTATTTTCAAAACTTACAGATGGTGGCCTTACAACATACTTGTAGAAATCATTTGATAGCAGATAAAACATTACGCACAGCCATTTGAGAAGCAGTAGTACAAGGACACATGATCACACAAAGACAACCAGTTTTACTAAGTCATGGAAAAATGTGTAAGCTTCTTCATGTATTCTATTTGTAGTGTCTGCTTATCTCATGATTAAGTAGAAAACAAATGTCCATGCACACATAAGAAAAATTAAAGTGTTCAGAACCAGTAACGATAGAAACAAAAATGGTCACAGACTGCATAAAACTCCCTTCCTGTTGAACAAATCCAAGGAGTTTTTTTGTACCTGTACTGCAGCCATTGTTATTTCATGCAACTTTTGTTTTTCCTTCTAACATAAGTGAATACTTGAGAACTTTTGAAGTCTGACTATTTTATTTGGTTCACAAAAAACTGCATAATCACTTATTGATGATATCCCTGTAATAATGACCCACAAGAATGACAAATCTTTACTCATTTGGTAATGAAAGCCGACATGTGTGTTAAATAAGTAGATAAAGGTTAAAACTGTTCTGTGACGTAGGGTGTATGGGCATTCTTAACTTTATACCTAATTTTAGTTGAGTTGTCAGTCTTGTGTTCCATCTGCCTTTATCCCTAGGAATGAAATCTGCTTTTACACATTACATACAAGGCTGGGTGAGCCCCACAGTCATTCTGGACACAGTAATGTTGAAAAGATAGATCACAATGCCCTGCTGGAAAGATAAACCTGGCCACTTATTCTGTACCTGGTTTCTTTCCTGACTGAGGTACTGCAACTCAAGAATATGATCAACTGAACTTTTCAGCAATGCCCAGTACAAAGTTCCCGAGGAGACACGAGACAGTCTCCAGATTCAGTGGATAGCGGCAAATAAATTGAATAATCAGTCATGAACAGCTGACAGTTGTCTCCAGACTAGGGTTTGGAAAAGAATTACCATAAAATTAATAAAATGTGTCAGAAAATGTCTGGAGTCAGACAGTGAGATAGCAATTGATTATATGTATTTGTGAAGTTAGTAATAAACAATTGGGTTCCATAAAATCATGGAATTTCTTGACCCACTAACCAACATTGCTCAAAGGGTCGGTACCACTGAGCTACTTAAAGATAAGAAAGTCAAGGTAACAAGGATAGGTTGCAGAGATGTCCACAGCACCCAATGAAATCAGATGGCATGATACTGTACAGCCCAACCCTCATTTGAGGAATAATAGGGAGAATTCTTGTACAGACCCCAGATTGGTGAAATAAAAAAACTGAAGTATTAAGTATCTTAAGTGAACTTGTTCCTGAGTTGATCTGCTCTCCACCATCTTTATCCTGTTGTTACAGTTACACAAACACACACACACCATATACACATCTGTATTACTTACAGTAAGCCACATGAAAGTTAGCCTCACTCACTCTTTGTGCTTAGAACTGGTCCTGAGATGAAAAGTTTATATATAAAGTTACATCTAGACATTATTTGAAATGGTCATGCATGCTCATCTTGGGCATACACTGGTATGTGCCCCTCTCATCATAACTTTTTTATAACTGCAGACAAGAATGCCATCACTAATATCCAAACAAACCTAAGAAACAAACTGTTTACTTTAAGATGGTCCATTACCAGAGTCTGCCAACAATCACACATTTCATATTGTCTAACCTATGAAATAATTTTTGTCATTGCTATGAAACTCACTTGCAAAGTCATGGTATTTGAGTTTGCCCTGACATTAGTTCAGGGCAAAAAATATGGCCTTTCAGACCAATGGAAGAGGAACAATACTAGTGCCATTTAGTATGAAGACTACATGTCATGCGTAAAAAGTTTACTTATCTGTTAGATACTGATAGCTGAAGCACATGGAACTTTGTATAAGAAATATTACAAACACATTCATGTTTTTCATTTTTTGTATGTGTTTATAGCAAAGTTCATATTTTTGGTAACAGCAACAAATCAAAATTTCATTCACAAAGAAGTCAAAAAAATCATTTTTGAGGATGCAGTTCCAAGTTCATTATTCCATACTCCTATCTAAAAATGAAAAGTTTAGCATATAATTTTACCTGTTACTGTGTATGGATGTTAAACTTGGTCTCCCACTCTAAGGCAAAACACAGATTGTTAGACAAATGACAGAAAAGCGCCAACACAGTGATAATACCTGTTTGAACAAATGATTGTAAAAATTAGTCTCAAGTAACACTCTTCATAATCACAACTGTCTCTTACTAGTTCTATAGTGAGCATCATGTCTGTCCTCTCACTTACTGCAATAGAGTTTACAGGTTTTCTTCAGACCAAAGAATGTCCTCTACCTGTATTAAAGACCACATTACTTTAGTTTTAATGATTTAAGTTCATTTTCAGCCAACTGTAAATTTATTATGGAAATTCATTTGCCATGCGCCGATTTCCCTGTGGAAGCGTTTATTTATTAACATTTCCACAGTCCCTACACCTTCAGTGCATGCAGACAGCAACTTTTATGTTTGTCAGCCAATTATCTTTATCTTTATCTTTATGTATATAGCTTCAAGAAGCCTGCTAGAGGCTGTTCACATTATTATTTTGACTGACAATATTTGGAAAAGATTTTACTACCACCTACATACAGTATTCAATCTCTGGATTTCAACCACAGTTCACTTTACCAGATGAGTGAATGTACATGACTTTTATTCATCATCTTGACTAACGTGGATTTTTCTGCATGCAAAATTTCATGATCAGAGCTTAACCATCATTGCAGTTGGAACAGCACGGGGGTTACTGTAGTAAAATATATTTGACAGCAACTGCATCACTTCTCCACACTTAAGGTACTCACTATGACTACAGCTCAACGGCAAGCTTAAGCCATCGACTGGTCATACAGGCGTGACCAACAGTGCAACAACATGGGATTTTAGTCTTCATGTCAGGTCAAGCCATTCATACAATGGTGCATCTACAGTGCAAACTTTAGGCTAATCTTCGGTCATAAAGGGGTTGCCAACAGCACAGTATATCTGGTCCACACAGGGGTCACCACAACAGCACGTCAGGGTTAAATTTATAGCAACAAAATATACCAAACCCAACAAGGCAGGCAGGTACATTTGAGATGTTGGTATGATATCCTGACACACAATTGTAATGCAGCAGAGCACTGTACAAAATTATGATGAAAAAGTGTAGTAAAAACAGATTACATAGTATACAAAAACTTTAGAATAATTATCACACACTGCATTCTGTCTTGGAAGAAAGTTTAGACACAGAAAGTGTCCTTAAATTATTACTCTTACAAAACTTTATCACATCACTTTCATCTCTTCTAGTGACTTTGAAAGTGATATGATGTAAATATGTTAACAGTCTTCTTAAATGAGCAAGAAAATAAATAAAAATGTGGTGAATATACAATATTTAAAAGTTCTTAAAAAATCTATAAACTTTGCAATGAGTACCCCCACACAGCATCTAAATAACAGTGGCACTGCAGCTGAGGATGTCCATCTTAACCTCACTTTGGAAAAAAAAACTACATAATTAAATTTGAAATCAAAAGTTCAGCTCATAATCACCATATATGATTAGTAATAAGGCATAGAAACCAAGAGAAAACATAACCTCTTAATGTCAGCAAATATCTATTACTGTATGAGCATTAAAATCTTGTTTCAAGAAGGCAACATTTCTTGACCTTCAATAAATGCTTCGCTGCTTATATCAATAGTAATTTGACTTGTTATGTGACAGGACATGGTTCTGATTTTGGCTTTGTTCATTACTTAAAATTCTCAAAGAATTACATATTCTGGCATTTGGAGACATGTTACTCAGAATACTACATCACACACTGATCAGGTATTCTGCACCTGCTGCACAAAAAATATCTCATTTAGATGGTTTGCTCCTTCTGGTATGAATGTATTTTATGTTTGATAGGTTCTGTACACATATGCAACTCAGTCTAACACTCAAGGAAGAGCATACTAGATTGTTACAGAATGAAATGAGATGCTAATGGAGGAGTTAATTAGTTATGAAAAGATCAGTGATAGAAATGTATCCATTACCTCTCAAATATTAATGTTTGACATTTGTAGCTTTTCGACAATAGGAATTACTGTATACACAGTAACAGAAAAGTTCCTTACATAAAACCCAGCATGGTAAAGACTAAGCCTGGTGAAGTACACTATAAGACATAAATTCCTGCCCAAACAATTATTCTGAATCTCAGTTATGTATATATTAAAACAAACAAAACTTTCATAACACTAAAATATACTCCATTCCCCGTATAAAAACACATAATAAAAAGCAACAGTACGCTTGATGTAAAAATTTCTTTTTCATAACTACCACAACCAAAATCCACAGCACATTTCATAAAATACTTCCAACTGTTTCAATTTTTCCTTAATGCCGTAAACTTCTTTTCTGTAGAGCATTAACCAATTGTTTTATTTACATGAACTTCTGATACCATCATCCTACCAACATACCTAATTTCCTACACAAGTTTCAAGAACATATTAAAAATTACCATGAACAAAAATATCACCCCTGCATTTAGTTCTGCAATTTCAAACTCGGTGTTTATGTAACTAGGCATATATATTACAGTGATGTAATATGGACACGCCCTGCTGCAATAAAGCCACTGCTACAAATGCTAGAGGAATCTGGAGGGTACAGCCATCTAGCCATCTTTATAAACAGTTTCATATCGCACTGTCAATAGAAATTTCGCCAATAGTGATACTGAGTTGAGAGAAAGTGGGACGGTCACGTGGACTGTCAGACCAGCAACTGACAAGAAGAGACTGCAATGACTGAGGTGCCGCCTTATGTGGTTTCCACTGAAGCTCATGTTTTTTGAGTGCTGCAAGCACCGCATCATCCGACATCTTGGAGAATGGCAGCTCTCCCTGGTAGAACATCTCCCAGACTAGGCAAGCAAATGAGTATACGTCTGATTTGGTTGAGTAATCATCCTCATATACAGCTTCATATGGCATCCAGCGTAGTGGTATTACCTGTACAGCCAAAGATCAGTAAAGCAGTAATCAGACATACATCATCATTTTCACACAACAAAAAAACACCAAATGTCTTAGTCAAGTGATTAGAGTTTTCTTCATGTTCACAAGATCCCAGGTTCAAATCTTGGAATGACGATTGGCTATCCTGATAGAACTTTTGTGTTTCTGTAGTATATGTAGACACTAGGCACATGCAGAAATAATGTCTTACTGTACATCAAAACTGTTTTCTTTGACATAATTTCCAACCCATCAATAATCCTACCTTTCGGTGCCATATAACCTATAAAGCTGAATAATTCTACAATCTATCAATCACAAAAAAATAAAAAAACAGCCTTCCAGCTTCTACATTTTGAGTACAGAGAGTAGTGAAGCCCAAACCAAGAACAAAGACTAGGATATTGCGTTGACCAGTCAGCACTTGTGCTAGTTAATCTTGTAAGCTGCATCTAGGTAATCTGAGCAGGAGTTCTATTGACTGGCAAGAAAACATTGTTAGTAGAGTACATATTCTTATCATTAATAATCTACCTCTTCCTACTTACTGTGAATTACTTTGTTAAACCTGATTCTAATGGAGTTTGCCATTCCTGACCTATGTCACCACACACATTACTACGAGGAAGTGGCTGACAGATCAGGGTGGAGCAATTTCAGATACTGCTGCAATCACAGTTGTGTATCGCACAACTAATCTTTCAAGTGCAATAAACTAAATGTCTCCTATAACACTCGTACAAAAACCTTTCATTCCAACCCTCTTCCCTGTTCATCCCTCACTTGGCTAACAAGATAACCTGACTGTACAGAATGGGAGTATGCCATGACAGAATGATTGGCAGTGGAAAACCAAAGGACTTAAAAAAAACACCACCACCACCTTATCCCATCTGAAATCAAAAACTCAAATGAATTATGAGTGTGATAAGCAAGCATGTAGTTGCCTGAGCTATTGCATGGCCTTGTGTCCTCTGATGTCTGTAGATTTTATAAAATGTCAAGATATTGATTACATCCTGATGCCAAACTTTTATAATAATACGTTTAATGATGTCAAAATGACAGCTAAGAAAACAAGTGAGACAAATGTTTATCACCTCTCAGTATAGGATCCTGAATTCTTGTGTGATTATAGATATGGAAAGGAAGGTTGAAATGACTGCCAGGGCGGACAAGACATTGTTAGATTTATTCATTTATAGTTTTTTAACACCACTTTCAGTATCTCAGACTATAAAGGATCAAATGAGACAACGATAGTGAATAATAACTGAAAAAGGTGTGTAAGGTACTATCCTGAGGAAAATCACATTACCACTACACTAACCAATTCGGTGACAGAAGAATGGGAAAAATAAATATGAGCTATCCTCCATACCTCATTGTGGTATTTGCAGTATTCCTTGCTGTATGTGTCCCTAGACAGAGCTGAGAGAGACACTTTCACTGTCAGGTTGGAAGCAATGAGGCAGTTGCGGGCAGCTAGGTCACAGTGCACAAAGCGCTGGTTTGACAGGTGCTCCATTCCCAGAGACACCTGACTGGCCAGCTGAATAATCTGCGTCACTGAGAGCTGTGGAGGGCGTGGGCTCTTGCTCCCCGCACCTGAAGCCCTTGATGAGTTCCCATCCTTGCCCCCACCTCGAGTTGCCAGTAGGAACTGCTTCAGGTCTCCCTGTAACCAAGGTAATATAATTACATTCAGAAATATATGTGACTACTTAGGAGACTACCACTTGATTAGTTGGTGTTACTAAACTTGTCAGAAACTTCTGTGCTCTCTGAAACAATGGCAAACTTCTATCAGGTTACACAGCACAACAACTCGAAAGACAGCCATCTGAGTTTTTCATCAATTTTATTAGTAAGAAGATTTTAAGTTTGTTGATCATTGGCTCTGTCACCAATAGGGTTTTGTTTGTATTTCTTATTAGTTTTGTCAATATAACAGAAACAGTTCTTCAATGCAGTGTCCCATCTATAGATGCACATACCCAGTCACTATACTCCAGAATCATGTAATGTGGGTCAGCTTCTCGGCACATTCCCAGCAGCCGGGCCACATGCTGATGCTGCAGTTTGTGAAACATATCCAGCTCTCGCTTGAACTCCTGCAATGCCGAGTCCTCCTGAGTATTCTGCAGAGATTTCACCATCACCACTGTCTCCTTTTCCTTGTCCTCACCATCATGGAGTCCTTTAGCCCTTGCCAGGAACACCTCACCAAACACCCCTCGACCTGCAAAATTGTGCTTATCAATTTTCAACTGACATTTCCACCAAGGTGGGTGATAACATGACAGCAGCATCTTCAACCTTCTGTATCCTCCCATAAGCATTCTTCTCATATCTATTATTTGTTTTTTACATAAAATCTTTTGCATATACTCCCTCAGTAGATCTTCCTAATGGCCATTTTCATTAGTTGTGGTTTCCACAATGTACAGGCAATACATGCATATAGAAGGATAAATGAGTTTGATATAGTGAATCCTTATCAAGCATGATTTGCATAACATCATCTGATTTTAAACTGTACTGTGCCTTGTGGCATCTCTGCTTACAAATAATCTATGCTTGAACAAAAATATCTGGTCCACTGAACCCTCTAGCAAGATCGTGCATCTTTCTGTGAGAACCTAACCTAACCTACATCAACTTACAACACTTCTCACTTTCAGAGTAGCTAATAAAAGTGACCCCACACATGCTTTATGTAAATTTTTATTAAGTAAACTGCTTCTTCCAAATTCTCAAAGCTCAATTTTTTCCACCTGCTAAATTTGGCAAAACAATGTCTTTTTAAACATTGTCTTCCAGGAATGTAACCACCATATACAGCAAAAGTCAAATGTATTATAGTCGGCGCAGTAGTTTTTCGCCGGTTGAATTTTCAAGGGGAAGGCTAGGAGTGAGTCACTTGTGCGATGGTATAATGCTGACTGCACCGAGGAGCTTATCGGACTGAACGCCCAAACAAAAGAAATACACTGACCATGCCACCTGAGGTACACAGAGTAGGCCCATCCGCCAGCTTCTCCACTAGCCAAAAACTACTCCGCCGACTATACTATGTTTAATTTATCTTCAAATAAAGTGATGGCCTTGACTTATCAATATAATTTGCAGGTGTTATTTTGGTATAAACTATGCTGATGTAAAAAAAATAATTTAATCAAATTGTGTTCTTGGAGAGCGGATGTTTTGCATCTGCACATTTATTTGTGGTTTATTATAGAGCAATGTCAGTTGCTCAGACTAGATAATGTTAATTTGCTGCACTGGTACAGATAAGAGAGACAGGTAAACAGATTGATTCTATGGTTATTTCATAATGCTTCTTCAACTGTATCAATTGACTGGTGTTAAATTATAGGATAACTGTAAAAGATAATTTTGAAAGGATGTTTGAATTAAGTGGTCACCGCTGGGAGCTTGCCTTTAAGGATGGAGGTAACCAAAATTTGAACCCAAGTCTTCCTATCAGAAATTAGACCATCACGGTCAGACACACGGACTGGCTAAAGTCCTATACCCCAATTTCATTAAATACAGAGCTAAAAGAACTACACAAAGAACACAACATAATGAAAGTTTAATAAAAATAATTTAAAAAACATAGTTGAAAGATTTAAATTTTAAAATTAAGTGAGAAAAACATTTTCAAAATAAACTTTTTTTTAAAGGTAAGGAAGTTCTGTGTAGTTGTGCTCAAAATATTGCTATATGCAACATTAACCGTGAAGTAAAATTTACTTCAAGTCCCCCCAGATAGAATGCAACAACCTCAGTTTTGTGTTATTAAAAGGGATCAAGAAATGTCTCACCTAACAGGACCATGTTCTGCAGGTCTTGGCGTGGGAATGCCAGTCGGTCGTAGCTGCTACTCTTGTTGGAGCGTCGGCTCTGTGAGGAACTGTGAGACTGGGCAGTGTCTGCCCCATCTCCACCACCATCACGCAGCTGCTGACTGGCTGTTGCTTCCTTGAGCTCCGTGTGTTCCCCCCCTGCCTCACCATTCTCGGCTTTTGTCACTAAGGTACAAAATAAGCATTTAAATCCAGAACTGTTTCAGGAATTCTGAGATAAATGGTCACTCTAAACTACAGCAATCTGTGTAAGTTTTGAGAAAATTAATATTAAACATGCTGCAAAAACATGTTAATTCTTAGGAGCAAATGAAAGCACAAGCAAATTAAAATAAATATACAGTGTAACCTCAATGAAGAAATAATTTGTAAAGGTAAAAGTTAAAAAATGCTCATTTTAACATTCTACTGGGTACTCAAATCATCTGAAAATTGTTAGAAAACAACAATGTATAATAATTTTAATTTTTTATATCACAAACAAATATAAGCTTAAAAATATTGTCCAGGAGTTTGAAAGTCATCAACAAATTCAAACATATGCAATTCATCAGAGACCATAACCATTAAAAATTGTTATTCATACCTGCATTCACATTAATCACAGATTAGTCAAATAACAATGTCCTATTTTAAGTGCATAAGAAACAGAGGAAACATTCACAAAACTATAAAAGAAAAAACAAGTGAAAATATTATCGTATGACTGCATCATACACACACCTGTGCTAGATACTGATCATGGAGACTATGGGTTACATTTATTGCTTACCAAAATAATGTTTGATGGAGGAAGACATAGCCTATGCTGGCATTCACTTGGAGAGAATAAATTATGTAAAACCTGGCATGATACCCATAACAAAATACAAATAGTCTGCAGCAATGTTTAGGTATTAATAAACACAATGTTTTATAAATCCCTAGGTATTATACTACAAGAAATACTAGACTAAGCCTGCCAGTATTATTTACTTTTTCCATTAATTTTCTTTGAAGTTTTAATACTTTGTCCTGCATTACAATTAAAGGTTAAAATAATGAACATTTCAGAACGTTTCCAGCAAACATTTTGAAAAATGTCTTCAACCACTAAGGGTTCAAGAACTGCTGTTCTGTACCATATTATGCTATGCATAAAGAGGTTTGTTTGGTTGATAAATAGAAGACTCATTAGGCTAACAGAGAATGTGAGTGACATAAAATAATGTTGAAGATTTCTGTCTTCTGGGTTGTTGCGCTGTGTAGTCTGGTCGATGTTAACCAACGTTTCAGAGGTCATACTGCCTAAGTCATCAGGGCGATGAGTATGAAGATTTCTGTCTTCTGGGTTGTTGCGCTGTGTAGTCTGGTCGATGTTAACCAACGTTTCGGAGGTCATACTGCCTCCGTCATCAGGGCAATCTGACAGTGGTGCTTGAAAAATATAAAATTATTGAAGATTTCTGTCTTCTGTGTTGTTGCGCTGTGTAGTCTGGTAGATGTTTACCAACGTTTCAGAGGTCCTTTCTGCCTACACCATCAGGGCGATGATGATGGCAGTATGACCTCTGAAACGTTGGATAACATCGACCATACTACACAGCGCAACAAACCCAGAAGACAGGAATCTTCATACTCACCGCTGTGAGAACCTCAAATCTTATATAAAATAATGTTGTTTAGCATATCTATACATACATGATGTACAATAATGACATGCTGTAACTTACAAGGACACACCACTTACACAGAGTGTCTGTACCTTCAGCTCCGTTAGCATTGAGATATGCCTGTTTTCTGCGTTTGCGTTTGTGCCGGCACCAGATCATCAGTCCCACCACAAGCATCATGTATGAGCCTGCAATACTCAGTGTAATAGTGAAGGTCTTGGTCATCATGGAGCTATCGCCTTCCTGATCCTCACTGGGGTGGTAGCCCTCTGGGCCTAGAATAGTGTGTCACAAAAACACAGCATAGAGTAATGGACTCAACCTTCATAAAGCAATATTTTAAACTATAATGGAGCCATAACAGCTTATCAGTAGAATGACAGGTAAAGTCTGCATGAACTGAACCTATTTCTATACAGATACATCACAAATTGCACAATTTAGACACATCATTCTGAGGTCATCACTGTCGTTCCATTCTATTTCATCCACATTTGGTTACTAAACATTTTAAAAGTCAAAGAAAACTCAATAAATTTAGAAGACGGCTGTCGTCTGGTAGAAGTTATCAGTGTTTCCGAAGTCCTTTCTGCCTCCATCATCAGGGCAATAAGATCTCATCACCTTGACCAGACTACATGATGCTACAGCCAGAAGACAGCCATCTTCAAATTCACAACTGTGAGAACCTCAAATACTTCATAAATTTACACGTGCAAGTGAAGTTTTTGTATCTGCAAACTATGTATAATTATGTTTTCAGTCTGTTCAGGTTCTCTGTCACAAACACAAATACTGTAAACTTATGGGTTACAAAACCAGCATCTTGAATTTCACACAGTAACATAGAGTCTAAAACCAAAAGATAGTGTATTTTCTCACTCTCAGTACCAAGTGAAAATACAGTGAAACACAAGCGGTGTACAAAGTCTCTTCAGATTCACTGCAAACATGGTTACCTCTAGAAAATGTTGTTATGTTGACAAGAAAGTCACTGAAGAAGTTCTTATAAATTCTGACTCAAAAGAATAATTAGTATATGAAGGTATTATTGTATAATGAACATGCTTTTAATTACATGGTAACCACAGAAGCCAAATCTGGAATAGGATTCCGCCAGTGAAAGCAGTCAGGTGAGAGCTCATCTCAGAAATGCATAAAGCATGCAAAAGTGGATAAGGGACTGAAGTTGCATGGCAACACAGACTAATTCCAACTGTCTATAGCACTGACGATGGCAATTTCACCTCTGATTCATCAGAGGTGGACTTCATCCCTACCTCCCCTCACAATGACAATAATGCAATATATTGCAGAAGCCATTACTGCATATTTCGAGCTTTAGTGTTTGATGATTTTCACCACATTCACAATTAGGTAAGTAGCAAGATACTGATGTCACTCATGTATTTATTTATTTATTGCTCATATAATGCTCATGACTAGGGTAATAAAATGTCAACAGGAAAATATAGATCCACTAACCCACTCAACTCGACGACCATATTTGCACAATGATCAAAAACCAATACGCAAATCTACTCAGAATGTTGCTTTTCACTGATCAGTATGATGGTGAAAGAGAGAGAACTTGGACATCTCTTTGAGCATGCCTGATGCATGTCATGATAAAAGCTGAACCATCAGATTCGATAAAAGAATATTTTTCAAACAAAAAATTAATATCACTTTTTGTGCTAAAATGAAAAATTGCTACAATTTCACACACACCCAAAATTGACATAAACCTAATTATTTAATCAATAAATTATTGTCCCAAATATTATTTTAAAAAATGTAGTTGGGGAAGAAATGTAGAGAATCGACATGGCCACGTCTACTCACTCCGCACAATGAGAGTCACCTCCTCCCGCTTAAAGCCACCGCTGTTGCCAGCCGTGCAGCCATACTTTCCACTGTCTGCCATGTGCACCTCCTGCACCAACAGTGTACCATTCTCCAGAACATGGAATCTACACAGAGTACATGTGGGAACAGCATTAGTATTGTCAAGGCATGACTGACACTGTTCTTTTCTAGCTGGGACACTCAGCTTGGAAAATGATCGTTCGTAGTTTACCACAATCCATCCAATTAAATGCAGAAATAATAACGTTCTTTAACATTGTCTGACATAAGTATATTATTATACTTAAACAGTACTAATATGTACCACTCAACATGTTTAAATTTCTCGATTAGTCATTCTCAAGGGCTTTATTCACTACATCATTATTCAGAGAAGTATTGATTACAAGGTCATTAATAACAGGTATTTCAGTTATATTGTAACATATCTGAAAAAGATTAAGAATATTTAGTAAGAATTTTTGACAATCACAATAGTTCACTCATTACTGGTCTTTGTATAAAATCTAGTACTACGAATTGGAGGTTAATGCATCATCCTTATGTTGACGTAGATGGACATATTTCATACTCATAAAGTGACTAGATAATATTATGTTCTGTGTTGTTCTGGAAGAATGCAGTACATTATATGACCCTCTTTACTTCACAAAGATGGTTTTCTTTGTGTTTTTAATTCCTTACGTGTCGTATGTTGCTACAGAGTGAGAAAGTAAATACTGGCTACTTCTGACATTGCAATCAAGAACTCTTCAGATTATCCAGTGTATCATAACATGTAACATGTAGCATTCCAGACATCGGTGAATAGATTGAATAATTTGCTGCTTGAAGGTAACTTTTTTCTAAGCTGTTTCACCATGTGGTCTTCCTTTCATATCCTTTCCAGTTTTTCATACAAAGTTGCTATGGTATTTCATTTTACGCTACCTAATCTCTGAATGTCACAAACTCCCGTCAAACAATTAGGGAGTCCAAAGTTGATTCTTGATATGTAGACCAACTATTCTTAATTAAGTACATTTTTTGATACTTCATTAAAACATGGGATAGCAGATTACTTTCAAATCCGTTATTCATAATCAACCTTCCGTTCACTGCTAAATAACGATATAATTCTTAAATAAATATAGCAACTGTTACAATTAAAAAAGTTTATATACCTTGTTATTGAGACAAACCACCCCTAACAGTTTAATTAATGTTGATACAAAAAGTTATGATGACTAACTTTCAATTAATTCAACATGAAGGAGTTGTACAGTTATAAACAGCCCCATCTCTGCGGAAGCAACACTACTGTACATGATATTCTTTGCTGAAAATCACCTGCTGCGGTCAAAGCCACTGAAGTTGCTATTCCGGTCCCACTTGACTGTTGGTTTTGGGTCTCCCTCTGCAATGCAGTGGATCATAACAGGATAGCCCTCATATGCCTCGGTAGGATTCTGGGGGTACACTCGGAACTTTGGTGTCACTGCAGCAAACCAACATGTTGTGTCATTTGTATAAAATTCACAAATTTAGAAAAAATATTTGCAAGTAGATACTCAATAAATATTTTATAAAAAATTAAAGATTTCCTATTAAGGTACAATGTCTGAGACTGGTAAGTTTGTCCCTCGAAGGAAGCAGAGAGACGAAGGACGAGGAGTGCGAGGGGGTTGACTACAGGTTGCAACCAACATGACTACTATCAGTGCAAAATACATTTACCTGCTTATTCTCCGAAGGATATAAGACCTCTTCAGTCTGAATCTTCGTCGGAATTGATGGTTTTGAACTGAGACAACACCACACAGTACATATAGCATAACTACCTTACCTAACCCAAATGCTGCCATACTTACCAGTACCAGACAGTAGGGGCATTGTCTTGTGCATAGTGCAAGACTATTCTGCCCTTAGTCTGCTTTGTGGCTTGTTGGTTAGTTGTTTGAAACCCCCAATTCAGCCCTGAAGATAAAGACATTATGTTTCCCTAAAACACTGGTACCTACCTATAAGTTCTCATTACATTCCAACTCAGAAGACCACCAATGACATCACCACCGTGAGAACCTCAATGTACACAATTTATTCACGTCAACTAGTATCAACAGAGTTCTAAAATAGGAGCGATTATGACAACCTGGATGTGACGGGGGAACAGAAGACATACATACAGAATTTTGGTGGAAAAATCTCTCCAGAAGTAATCACATGTTAGTTTGAGAAGATGAAAGAATAATGTGGAAACAGATCTTAGAAAAATTGGCGGTGAATTACATTAAACTCAGACAATATCATTCCCAGTAGTGGTCTTTGGCAACACTTGACTTGAACCTTCAGGTTGAATTAAGAGAGAGAAATTACAGTTTCCAAGTCGAGAAATATCTTAAATAACTGAAATTACTGCCATGGAACAAAACCAATGAATATTAAAAGCCCATACAATATCTGTCAAAAATACTTTGGCATTGTTTCAATATCTGATTGCTTTACATTTTGCACTGTTTTTAAATTGTTATTACATAAATGCAAGAACAAAACTAGCATAAAATTCACTATTATTTTAAAAATATTTTGATATATAACACTTGATGCCTTGACCATGTAGTTCAACAGGAATCTCATAGATGTAACATAGTTTACTCGCACCTACATGAGATATCTCACACACATCACATGAAGATCGAATGGTGTTCATAATATCTCATCAAACACAACTAATGGGAGTAAACAGGGATATGACTATACTTGGTTAGTCACCGACCAGGTAGTCAGTACGAGATTATAAAAACCCGGTGAGAAGTGAGAGGCGAACAGAGTTCTGCTTAGGCATCGACTGATTGAGTAAGAAACACGTAAATGGAGAGGCACGCACCTATTACATCAATATCAATAGTGGCATTTATAATGCCCTGAGAGTTGGTGGCAACACACATGTACCGCCCCTTGTCCTCTGCTGTGACGTTACTGAAGTGTAACGTGCCATTGATGTCTTTCACATTGTCAGGAATCTCAAACTTCTGTTCCCCCTGTTGACCCTCCTGTAAAAGAACAAAAACAAAATTGGAAACTAAGATACTGTTTAGCAGCATTCATAAAGCAAGCACCACACGACAATGCAAGTCTCATACATAAACAGTTCATTATACCAACATCATCAGATGAAAGCACTAGTAAAAACTTATGGAAAAAATAACCACAGCTGTATACTATAATGTTTTAACCACACATTCAGGGTTAAAAATGATAAGGATTTGTATAGCTACTAGTTTATAAAATGTTAAGTAGTGCCTACATCTCAAAGAGTAGCCAGTTCTGACATTAGTGGGTGGGTGCCAAATTTTTGCCAGGAAATAACACAAAAATTGTAAGCAGGTACAAGTAAAGAGATTGTAAATCATGACCAACCAGGTCTCAAAAAGCTGGGTACTAGAATAGTGTAACTGACCAGACCTTGTTTTGATGTCCATACGCCTACTCTGCTTTTATTTTTCTTGATATCTAGCAAGTTTTTCGACCAGCATATGGGACCGGTACCAACCCAGCATCGTGAGGAAATTGGGGAGCTACAATGGGCAACGTAGCAATGGCTGGGGGTTCGTCGTACTGACCACACGTCACCCTATATCTGGTTGGATGATCGTTCACCTCTGCTTAGGCATGTGAATGTGAGGCCAGCAGCCAGCTAGTCTCGGCTTTGTCTCTCTGAAGCTGTTACGCCACGGATTTCATCTAGCATGTTTACGATTGTGTACTTGAGTTTTTCTATTAACGAGGGCTGTGTGAGCAAGTGTGGTGGAGTTTCTCACAATGAGTACTGTATGGAGTCTCTTCAAGGAAGGAGATCAGATCCATTACTAGTGAGTAGTCTCTAAAAGGAAGGAGACGCAATAAAGATACTTGGAGTTTGACGCAGTTGTTACCTTCGTGTGTGTTCGATCCCCGTTAGTGACCCCGAGTCCCCTGAACTAGCGGAGCAAACCGAAAGTGTGGTGGATGGTTATAATAGAAATAGTAAATAGTGGCCACTTCCAATATTTAATACATAAAAACACAGAAATAGGCAAATACATATGAAGTGGTAGGCAAAGAAATAGAAGTTATGACACGGCAAGGAGAGGCAGATCTAGAACATGAGGAAGAATGATAATATAAAAACAAATATTACGCAGATTTGCAATGGATAAAGGCCAAAAAGAGCAGATAGTTTTTGTCTAGGTATTGCTCTCTTGTAAGACTTCATCGCCCTGATGACGGAGGCAGTATGACCTCTGAAACGTTGGTTAACATCGACCAGACTACACAGCGCAACAACCCAGAAGACGGAAATCTATTGCTCTCTTCCTGGTATTAATATAAAAACAGATTACATAAGACTATCTGTAGGGCAAATGCTTGCAGATGTAATCTTTACATGACTTCCCCAATTTCTGGTCAATGTGAAGACAAAAACAATTATTTGTAGAACCTCGAGCACTCATACGGTAGGTGCTGTCATGCCCAGTCATAATATAGCTGTAGAGAAGAACAGCAGCTTAAATATTTGGGGCCCAGTGTTCTAAAAATAAGCAAAGATACAAATTTGCAAAGTCTAAGTTTTTGTGGAGGTTCTGATCTATACCCAGATTCAGCTGGAGATGAAATTTATGATTCTGTGAATGAGGACTCCTTACTCCTAGACCGTCAAATTCACCCATGAACATCCCTATAATATTGTATTTTAGTGTTCAAAACCCTTGTTCCACCTCTGGTACCCACTTCGGGGAATGCATGGTGTCTGCCCATCTGGCATTATTATTATTGTTGTTGCTGTTGTTGGAATTATTTGTTAAACTTTCCACAAACAGTATGCCACTACTTTTAAATATAATACAATAACTTAATATCAGCAAAGTAACCATGTAAACTTCTGATGTAAGAACACTAATAATGTCTATGTATTACTGCTTTTGTTTTGGTTTTCAACAACGAAACACAAAATTCTTTGAAAACAATCTCAATTTTTAGTTCAGATTTGCTATCACAGTCTTTATACCCTGAACAATTTGTTATGGAAGAAAATTTTATTTAATAAAATAAATGAGAATAAAACTATAGTACCATATACAAATGTACAGCACCTTGAACCATTTGATGACAGGGGGCAGAGCACCCTGAGCCTTGCAGTATACTCGTGCTGATGATCCCAGCTCCAGTTTTTTGTTCACAGGTCGAGGTGAGAACTTCAGTCTCTCTGTAGAAAGGAAAACAGCCCCATGAAAGCAAATCAGAAGCAGCAGCTTGGCACAGTTCAAATTAAGAACGTGAACCTATGAAAGCCCTAATTTCATTATGCTTTACCCTCAAGAGCTACAACAGGCTTCAGAAACTCCTGATGAGTGCCATTTGAATTTTAAGACGTGAACCATAAACCAAAAAACAGATGGAAGCAGATTACAAGCAGTACAGATTATGCTTAAATCAAAAATCAACAACAAGAAATGATAATGTAGGATTTAAGGTTTTCATTGGGGTGAGTTTGAAGATGGCTGTCTTCTGTGTTGTTGCAACGTGTAGTCTGGTAGAACATCGGTAAACTTCTACCAGACTACACGACACAAGAAACCAAAATATGGTCATCTTCGAGAAAGGATAAAATTTTGAAACTGGACATTGGGCAAGATCTGAATATAAAAGCACTTGCGGAAAGTCAAATTAAAAATATAGCGGTATGAACATATGTTATGGGTGGATTAAAAAAGGATTCCTGTTTCAGAAATGAAGATAGTAAATAAACAATCACTGGGGGAGTAGAAACAAGGATAAAACATCAGGTGTCGAAAGATAATACAAAAGAGAGTAGGGAAGGCATGGAGAGACAGGCACACAAAGGGCCACAAAAGAAAGGAGAAGACAGTAGTACAGAACGATGTAATGAAATGCAATCACCAAGATAGATATAGTATCAATAAACAGCAACAATCAATAACTGTCACTCCGAAATACTGTGTTACTTTTATAAACATAGTATTACATCTATGAAGAACGGAATCAAAAACCGCTTTTGATATATTCCAAGTGCCAAAACATTGTTTCATTTGAAATTATTGCAACCAGAATTCCCTGGCATCTTACCATTCTTCTGACACCCATCTGCCTGAACCAGTTTCTCCTTCTTCGGTTCACACTTCAAAGAAAACGTGTCTCCATTACAATGACCTGTCAGTTAATGCCGTTTAGGGAAATAACCACAGTTTATTCCAAGAACCATGCAAAACCAACAAATATACCCTGTAGGCAAAATACAGAGTTACTACCCCTGAACTTTAAAGGATTTTCTAAACACACAGCAGTGACTAAGTCTGCTTCAGCGTTATTTTACACGGGCACTAGACCAACCTTTGACGAGCACGGTGGCTGGTTTGGAATGAACTGGTTTGAATCCAGTAGTGTTCACTAGACAGCTGTAGTTCCCATGGTCATCCAACTCGATCTCAGAGATAACGAGCGTGCCATTAGATCTGTTCATCTTAATGCGGGAACCATCTTCACTTATCAGCTTGCCATTCTTTCTCCACAGAACCATCGTGACAGGATGAGCCATGGCATGGAACTGACAGCCTAGGGATGCAATGGCTCCCTCTTCTACGGACATGCTCAGTGGGTCTGACACTATGTTAGGTGGAGCTGTGAACATGTTACATACGTTGCGCTTTCATCTATAGTTTCTACAGCAGTGGATATAGCATGTTTACCAACTTACATCTAAACATTACAACCTAAATATTACTGGCAATGCGTAGTGCTAAAGGTTCAGGTTTGAATAATTCACTGCAAAGGTGAGTATAAAATACAGGCACTTTCAACATCCAGTTTCGATATCATCGCAGACATCAGTATCCTATCCGAAGCCACGGTAGAAGATGTCACGCAGACCCATTGAGTTGCACACACAGTTTCAGTGACTCACCCCACCATTTAGACTAAAAGGACTACCGATTAGAGCCTCTCATGGTATCACTCAGAAAATCCATGAGCATTTATACATTTTTCATTTTACGCACTTTTGACATGTGCAGTGATTCACAGGAACGCATCCTCTGCATGCAACAAGAGTCACCTGTACAAACACAACTTGCAGTATGCACTTACTGGACACAACAAGTTTGAAGGATGCCATCCTGGTGCCAGCCATGTTCTCTGCAACACAGGTGTAATTGCCCGAGTCATCCACAGCTCTCGCGGCCTCAATGATAAGTCGCGACTCATCCACTCTTACCGGCCCGCTATCGGTGACAGTGTGTCCGCGCGGGTCGAGCCACCAGACACGTACTGGGGGATTGCCAGCCACTGGTAAGCATGTCAGCTCAAACTCTGCCTTCTCTGGCACAATGCGTGTCCTGCTGTCTGGCAGAGGTGGCTCAAATGAGCTGCCAGTCAGTTCATCTAGATCTTGGGGGAAAAAAACATGCACTCTATCAGTCCTACCGGCAGCACGGGTTTCTCTCTTCCGCGCCTTTTTGAGCAATACGAGAAAGATTACGAGAGGAGGGTTCTCTATGCAAGGAAGAGAGTTTCATAAAATGTCACTCTCTCAAACTCTACTAGGCATAGTGCAACTTGAGCCATGAATATGTGTATTTTGTACCACTTTAAAGAATATACATTAGAATGCATATTACTGTAAACTGATTAGCCTGTGCAGGCACTAATCTGTCTGAGAGTGAATGTACCCAGAAATATTAAATATAAAGTCTCTTGTTCTTTATTATTTACAATAGAATATAATGTTATTTGTTGGTTTATACACTAGTTTAAGACATGTATGCACAACTCACAAGCAATGTTCAACTCTGAAGTATAGGTCTGAGGTTCTTGGTTTGCATCCACAGGAATCCCCACACAGGAGTAAAAGCCCTCGTCAGAAGCTCTGACATTGTGGATCAGCAGAGAGCCATTAGCAAACACAGTAATTCTGTAACAGTAACCAGCGGCGTCCAAATGCACTTGGTATCTCAGAATGCCGGAGCTTGAGTTCGTGTCAGAGGAATAGAAAACAAATTTCTAGTTGTGATCAAGATTAACTTTAATCCCTTTCAACAATTAAAAATTTTCAGTTTATTTAGTAGGAAAGAATTAATCTTATTTTGAAACATTACAAAATACTCACAGAGTACAGAATTAATCATGCTCCAAAATTTCTGACTTTATGGACAAGACCCAATCATAAGTTGTCATCATTAAGATCATCATCACTCTGATTTTGTTAGCCAACTAGGCTTTACATGCCAGCATTTCTTTCTGTACCAAATAACACGTGAACGTGATGAAAGAAAGAGCTGGTATAGAACCCCCACCCCTCCCAATGCACATGCACAAAAAATGAACCAAAAGGGAGAACAAACTTAGGAGAAATGCCCAAAAGTTAGAATATTCAGTTTTTAAAACCAAATGAACTGGGCGAAATACTTGGAAGGATCGTGATAATACAACCATTAAAACAAAAACAGTAATCTCATCCCACTCGGAACATTCACAAGCATTGGGTTCGATTACAAAATATACATTCAAGGAAAATTACGGTCTCGAAATATTTGTGTGTCTGGTATATGTTTATAATTACTGTCCACAGACCAGGAGAAAAGCCCTGCGGGGGGAGTCGTTTCTGGTGCGGTGCGGGGGGAATGTTTACTATCAAGTGGACTAGAGGCCTGCTATTGGTGGGAAGTGTAATACGTCAGAGTTTTACGCTACTACACAGACTGAAAACATCAAGCAGTTACGAGTAGCGTGTAGTGAGCGCACCTCTAATGTGTTCTGCGGGTGTTGTGATAATATTCTATATTAAATCACTGTGCCACTGTGAGGTAATCTTAAAGCTATACCCACTACAACACACAAAGCGTGTTGTCTGTTCGTTCAATGGTTGTGGAACGAATGCTTTTAGGATGGGTCGTCACTCACCGCGAAATCTTGCGCATGCGCGTATAACGAATTCCTAACAGGGTTTTTTTCCTGGTCTGGGGAAAAAACGTATTCACATCTGGAGGAATGGATCTCAAGTCAGATTTGATGCAGGGACCCTGACATGACTCCCAGCTGCATCATGTGCAGGAGCCCTTCGGTGTTTAAAAGTCCCTTCCTATCAGTCAACTGTTCCTTATATAAATATTTATCAGAGTCGGCACAGCAGGCTCAAAGACACAAAGCCTGGCTACAGTTGGAAACCCAACAGTAACTGTCAAATGATAAATATTTGTATGAAACAGCATTTGAGGTTCACCATTGAGATAAACAGCCTTGTGGGATGTCACCTCAACTTGCTTCTTCTTCCAGGCTGATAACTCACACCAAATAATTTAATATTATGTTTGCAACTCCATTTCTGTAGACCAAACATTAACCTCTAAACTCTTCAAAACAAGCACTGATATTTTCAACCTACAATTAATCCTACAAATTTTTTTTCGTATCCAGTACACACCATTCGGCATTGGTGGTTAGCAGGATTCACGACCCATCAGTACATGGGTTCGATGGGGACCGCGACATTTAACGCTCCTGCTGTGACCCCCTTTTTTGCGAGATGATGATGAAAGTGGAAACCCCGGAGGAAAACTCCGTGATGCCTAGACCACGGCCTTGCCCAACACAAGTTTCAAATATTTTACCCATACCCCACCTGAGCCAAGCTTTCTTTTATTCCAGCCCAAATGAAACCCAATCCATTTACAATCTGCACTGGCTATCGTATCATGAATTAATTATCTGATGATGCTCAAAGAACATCTGAGGTTATTTTGATGTATCAGATGCCAAGTTTGTAAAATGTTATCTCAAACTATTTCTGGAAGAGAACAGCTACAAAAATCCACAAGAAAATTAAGCCAGTGGGATGTGTAATGAGAATAATAACAAGAATAAGAACGGTCTGAGAAAGCCACTGCTTATAATTTAAATTAGTCTCAAATCCAAACATTATATGTTACCAGACCCAAAATTTTGTGGAGTCCTTATTACCATCCATTGAATTTAATATATTTAAATTGAATTAAAATTATAATACAGCTTCTTATTTTCTTCTTAGTTATCTTAAAAAAAATCTGTCCCTTACATTCGTCATTCATGAATCAAAAATTGTTTTTTTATAAAGTTTAAAACATGTCCCTGAACTGACTTAGCACTAGTGTGAAAGACATATACACCAAGACAAGTAAATTAAATTAAATTATCTTATGCTTCCTCGTCTTACCAACAATATTTAACATAACCTGACCCAGTCCCTAGCCATCATCTACCAGGTTTTCATAACCTCACTTTTTACAAGCCTTGTAACTTATAAACTCAGTTGAAGTAACTTAACATTTTCAATCCATTCAGACATTACTTCCAATTCCTTCTGTAAAGAATGTCACTTGTCTTATCTACAATCCTCATAGATTTATCCCAAGGATAAAGTACACTAAAATTACACATGAAGGACCAATCCGAGCTAAAGTAATGTTTACACGCCACATTTTGTAGCTTTCATCTTACAGACAACAATTATAACATTTAAATCACTTTAAAATACAAAAATATGCCAAATGTGACGTCAGGGTTTCTAATGAAACACGTCTAACTTCAGTTCTAGGGCAGTATTCAAGTTAAATACACGTAAACAATGTTGTTATAGTCCTTCCTTCGTGTCTCCAGAATTCGTGATATCAGGTTAACTGCAGTTAAACCATACTATCTAAATGATCTGATAAATACTATAAAATCTGTTTGCTGTGTCTGAAATGTTATCATACAGAATTCTGTATTTTTCAACTACTTTTCCCTTCTTTTTTTTTTTAGGATTTACAATTTCCTGGCAAACAACTGATTGCTCGGGCAAACAAGATGGCTCTCAATGTAAGAAGAGCTAACATTTAAGTAATGTAGCAAACCCGAATTTCAAATTAGAAACTCTTTAAGTCAAAAGTTGTCATCGGTTTGGTGCATTTTAACAGTCCGAAGGATTTAATCTTCGTGGTATCGCCTACTATATATGCCATAACATGAGATGATAAAGTTGCGTCATATTGTGATAAATATATATTTGTTTAAATCTTGTCAGTCTAATCACAATAAAATTCCTATTAAATATTAAAATATTACCATAATTAACATTTAAATATTTAAAATATATTAAATGATGTTCTCTATCGAAATGTTCGATTTACATTAGATCATCACTTTTTTACACGACATGTTTCAGTTCTAAAAGAACCATCTTCAGGTGCATAAAATTATATAAACTTAAATATAATTTCTTAAATGCAACTTTTAGTCAGATGTTTATCAGATTTCAAATGATGTTTTCATCCAGATTTTATTGTATTTTTAATATCGTATTCGAAGTTGTTCTGTATATGTGCGTCGTGGTTAACATGATTTTGTTAATTATAGTAATATTTTAATATTTAATAGGAATTTTATTGTGATTAGACTGACAAGATTTAAACAAATATATGCCATAACATATTAAAATTTCACATCGGTAATTCAACAGTTATCATTATCCGACAAAATTTTTAGAATCAATTTCTCTTTTTTTCTGTTGACAAAGTATTTCTTTCTGGTGGCCTTGCAAAGAGAAATATTCCATTTCTTGCTTTTATCAGCACAGACTGGGCTCCGTTTCGAAACCTCAATCAAAGCTTCGGACAGACGGACCTAACAGAGGGCCGAATGGAAGATGAGAATTGAGGAGGCCATGGACCGAATACGGACCGGAGAGCCATAGAAGAAGAAGTAACAATAAATCCCATAGTTTGAATAAGGCAGGAATTACTAAATACTTAAAATCTCAGTCTTTGGGCGTTTAACAGAAACTAGCAATGTCCACTGAAATTTCACAGGAAATCCAAAATATTTCTTATAATGTACCATTAAAATATTTAGTTGTTTGAAATGAGAAATTGTATCGAACACTTCTCTATGACGTGCAAAGGTTTTGGATGACGTGTCTAATTTTCAAAACAGGAAAAAAAAATCAATCATTTCCACTTGTTTGTTTAAGAGGAATTTCTTTTTAGCATTTTTTCTAAGATGTGCTGCTGTATATGTATTCTAGTCACACCTATGACTCACTTACAAAGCATAAAAAAATCAATAATCTTCCCGACGTTGTCTCTCCGTAAGTAACACTTACGGATTCACTGCTTCTTATGACATCCCCTATGCAAAAATTAATTATTTTCCAAGGTTTAATCTCCAACAAAAACGTTTTTCTTACGAATTTACAACCTTTTCATAACTTACCACTTGGAAGAAACACGCTTTGTATGATATGACGTTTCTGGGTTGTTGCTCGGTGTACTCTGGTAGAAGTCTACCAGCTCATCGCCCTGATGATGGTGGCAGCATGGACCTCTGAAACGTCGGTAAACTTCTACCAGACTACACGGCGCAACAACCCAGAAGACGGCCATCCTCAACAAATATGCTGTCTTGCAAGTTTCTTTCAACACCCCTGTGACTAGTTTTCAAAATAGAAAAAAATCAATTTTCAAAGGATTGTCTCTCTCTCTCCCCCCCCCCCCCAAGTAATACATATCATACTGAGTTGCGTCAAAGTTTCCAGTTGAAGGTCCGAATGTGATTTGCCACTTCTGTCACTCTGGGATGAAACCCCTAAAAGGCAATGTCTTACGTAAGCGATAACGAGCGAGCTATGCGAGCTGCATAAGCAACATGGGGTGTCATATGACATAAGGGAATCGCTTGTTGTGTCCTACATGAGAGAAACACACGGCCTTCCTGCGCATGCCCATTCCCTGTACTGCACGGTCAGAGCTTCCTTGCGCATGCGCCTTACTGGCCAGCGCAGCGACCTGCGCGAAAATATCAAAATATCTGATCTTGAACTTTGGCCGCCGACCGCTTCGCTGTAACATAGGACAGCGCCACACAAACAGCCAGTTTGATATTTCCGCTTCAACCACGCAACTCGCACCGCTCGCTTTTAATCGCTCACGTAGGACAGCGGGTATGGATCATGTGAGTACCTGGTGCTATTTTTTGATATAGGATCTGTCTTCCCCTTGAAGTACCACTCAGTTATGTTAGCATTCTGGTACACGCAGTCAAACTGAGCGGAGTCACCCTTCCTCACCAGCTGATTACGAGGCTGAACTTGTATGAGGGCCGAACCATTTTCTGCAAAAACATGCCAGCACACTAATTTTTTTTAAACCATTTCAACGCTGAAACTGAATGAAGATAATAGTATTCGGGACTTTTACCACTGACTCCAAATTCCTTCACAAGAATTTCTAACGCTAAAACATTAACATTTCTATTTCAATTACACTAACTGAGAAGTTAAAATTTAGTATGTCACATTTCAATATAAGTTCTTCATAAAGATCCAAAATTGCACATAATAATAACTTTAAATTTTTAGCAACAATTTTCCCCTTCTTTACACACAGTTTAAAATCAATCAAATCCAAATTTGGTAACAAATTTATTTTGTTTTCGTGTTAATAACAGGCTATTCTACAGTCTTCTCCGCTACTCTACGTTGTGTTCTGTGTACCTTATTTGCAGCTGAATACGTCTACATAGTAGAGACTGTTCATTTGTAATAAAATAAACTCACCTGCTACAGCCAATGAGAAGTTGTCAGCACTGTTTCTGGACCCGGCTTCATTGCGAGCAACGCACCGATACACTCCATTATCTTTTGGTGATACATTCTTTAAGTGCAGCCGTTTTTTACCGAAGCTCACAGTATCTGACTTGGTCAAGCGATCTGCATTCCTACAGGATTCCAATCATACATGGAGCGTGTCAGGGTTTGTTATTAATATTAATTCTCTCCATGCTGAGATTTTTAACAAAAAACACATTACTTTATTTCATATGTTAGTAACACAAACTGTCTTGGTGGAACAAAGCATACTGTAACCCTGTAAAAATGGCAAGATTGGTTTTCGGTAATTGTCATACACAAACAAAAATTGGAATGGCGGCAGGTTTCAGAGTATCATCGTTCACAGCAGAGAAAGTGTTAAAATGTGACAACAAGATTTTTCTATCATCCCACGCATGTGGTATAGTCGGCGCAGTAGTTTTTGGCCGGTGGAATTTTCAAGGGGAAGGCTAGGAGCGAGTCACTGACTGCACCGAGGAGCTTATCGGACTGAACGCCCGAACAAAAGAAATACGCTGACCGTGCCACCTCAGGTACACAGAGTAGGCCCGCCCGCCAGCTCCGCTAGCTTCTCCACCGGTCAAAAACTACTGCGCCTGCTATGCTGTGCCCTGTTCCACTGTACCAGGATGGTCCATCAGAGCGCGTAATTGCCTCGTAACCCAGTTGCGGACAGTTGTAACAAAATATCATATACGATCTTCTGGACTGTGACGCCATGCCGACTCATAGGTGGGTACAGTGGTCGAGTCGAAACGGTGCGTTCCACGTCCGTTCGAAGTAAAAGGCAAAACGCTCTACTTGACTGCTAAAAGAACTTAATCTCCAAAGCATTGTAATTGATTAGGTCGACTTCAAACAGAATCGTGTCGCTAGCGTATTTTAAATCTATCTTAATATCCAACATGTCCGCCATTCTTGATTCATATAACCTGTATTTGAGCACCTCTACTGTAGTCGGGACGAATCTGTGCGCTCGAGACCCGTTATAAATAAACTTTTCGTTGGCTTGATCTATAGATTTAGAAACAAAAGTCAAGGGAATCAGAGGGGCGGGAGGGGTAGCAGATAAGGAAGCATGTACTATCCACACCATAAACATCATTTCCCAGCGGCAGTTCCTGTGTCGGTAATGTTTTTGGTTTGCATAGTATATGTTTTTGTTTCCTTCTACCCGCAAGCTAGTGACATGCAAAACGCGCATATTCGCCTCAACAACCAGTGGTCAGGGTCCACAAATACAATTGGAATCTAGCACCCACAGTAATGGGAAATTGAAAATATTTTCTAGTCGGAAACACTAAAAAAATGTAAACAAGTTATAAAACGCAAACATGGCTTATATTTCTAGTGCTTTGACCTTTGTGAATGGCCGAGGGATTCCACGGCTGGGACACACGCACGATAAAATCCATGTAAGTCTTCATATAATGTGCTCCGACCTTAACCGAAACCGGAATGAACGACAAATTTAGGTAGGATACACCATTATCAATTTTCGTAAAAAAAAATCCATTCAGCCGTTTTCGAGTTATTCCATGCGTACAGATGAGCAGTGAGATTTGAATAGGTGCCCCGCATTTATGCGAAAGCGCCACACAAGTTCCTCGAAAGTTATTTGTTAAAGGGTTAAACACCATGTGCCTCACCGGTACCACTCGATGTGGACTTCGCCACTGCCGTCCACGCTACACCTCAGAGTGACGTCATTGCCTGCCGCAATCTTGTGGGGCGAGTCTGGCGATTGCAGCTGCACCAGGACGGGCTCCCCCAGCCCTGCAACATAAATCACATCCGGACGATCAGCCCCCGTCCCACGGAACAGACCATGGCCCACTCTGCATCCAGTCATTCAAAGAATTCTCTTCAGTACGTAACTACAGCAGACAGCGCTGACGTGAAGCGAACTTACGCGTTGAGTCTGCCCAATTTGTGGGTAAAATCGTCGAAATCTTTTCCCTTAAGTCATAGCTCGCAAAAAGGAAAACAAGGTTTACTCTCAGAACTCAAACAAAATTCGTTCTTTTTTATGTAACATGAAGGTTCATCACTACGTTCACATCAAATTTCTAGATTAACTGTAATCGCATTCTCCCATCTACACCTCGTTCTCCCAAACAGCCTCTTTCCACACGACGTATCAACTAATAGTTTGCTGTGAAGTAGACCTACATTGAGAAAGGTTCGGAAAAAGTTCCAACTACGGGATTTTGTGGTTGTAATCACAAAGTATTGGGATCCATTACAGCGAATTTATTGATCAGACTAATAGCTACCGACTCATCACGAACGGTCCTGTTCCATTGTGTTGGTACAGTTCATCAGTCAGTGAGCCATTTCACTGATGTAAACAGAATACCGGCTCAAAATAACCTAACCTAAAAAAAAACACAATCACTCGCAATCCTTCCCATGCTACGCGCGAGGTAATTCGCTTGACAACACTGCTCTTTCCGGTCTAGTCTGTGTGAGAAACGTGTCGTGCCATCTCACAACAGTGTGGCCTTTCAATGCTGAAAATTGCAAGTCAGCGTGGACATATAGCCTAATCGCTGAAAGACTTCGTATTGCAGTAGTAAAATGTGATATCGCCATCTTCACACATTTAAGAACCGGCCAACATCCGGTCAGCCATAATCCGATGCCTTTTTTCTCTCTCTAAAATTGTCCACGTGGAAAAATTTAGTTACCAACCTCCACACCAATTTGAAATGGCCACACAATAAAACAAACTTCCCTGAAATTGAAATGCAGATGCCTTGTTTCATCGCTCGTCAATTTATGTGTTTTCACTTGTTTTACCGCTCACGCCCGCCATCTGCCATGCGGTTACGAAACCACTCACTGCAAGAAGGATCTTAGTCATGCAACACAGGTTTATATCCATAGTACAGTACGATTTCTAAAGCACTAAAATAATTTGTCTTAAAACTCATTTTTACGGTTCTTTGAAACACATTAGCGAGCTGCGTATGTCTGCAGGGACTCTCATGGCGTCTAATGGCTCAAATACGAACGTTAGTTAACATCACCACTTGACTTGTTTTCATGAAACTTGATAAGAACTTCATCCCGAGGGGGTAAATCGCATCTTCCGTACTTTCGCATTTTATAATTCATTAGTTGTAGAAAGTAACTTTACTTTACAAAATATAAGGATTACTTACATAATTATAATGGAATTTTTTTCTTGTTTATTTGATATTTTCGTTCTATGTTCTCGTAATTCAGACGGGATTAAGTGCCTCTTCTATGTCGCATTATTCTGTGGATCAGTATTTTGCAAAGGGTGTGCTGAGGCGTGCCGTGAGAACTGTAGAGGTACGCGGCGCGATCTACTTTTTTCCTTCTTACTACAAATGTACTCCTAGGCACACCCCGGCGGTGTGCCAGAAATATCAAAGGTATAACAAAATTACTGTATACTTAGACAGTACTGACAAACTACTAAATACAACATTTATGACATGTTTAAACAATATACAATTTTAAACAATAAATTGGACGATTTAATTACACAGCCATGGAATACTTTAAGATTATAACAATATGTTCCTCAAATATAAAAACAAATTTTAATTAGTAATTTTATTATTTGCATTTGTTACTTTGTGTTATTTTCTTTTGTTTATTACAGTAAAGCGATTTCTCGTACAAAATTACGAGTTTTTAACAACACTAAGGACACTAAATGTTATGATTTACTTTATTTATGGAAGGTTTCTCAACTGCATCAAACGTAAAGGGGATTATCAGACATAATAAATAAATAGAATTAAGCCTATGTCAATGCGAGCCTACTACAAACAAAACTACGAAAAATAACCCTGTCACAATTGTCGGTCCCGGACCGCAACCCGGGACCTCCCGAATGCGACTCATCAGTATTCAGCACCACATCGCGACATTCGGTTTGGTTTACCTATTTTAAATACACACAATTACTCTGATTTTCACAATAAAAACCTTCGAACCAGCCAGCGAATGCTTAAAGAACCGAGAAACCTTCAAAATATGCGGCTGAGCTGTACGTCGCTCTTGCACGAACTCTCGTTTATTTTCAGAAGCGCAACACATCAGCGAGTGAAACAAAACGGCGGCTCGCGGTTACCTCGGTTCGAGGATCGAGTCCCGAAAACAAGTATAGACCCCTACAGGCGATAAACATTGGCGCAGTTCTTAGTTGTTACCAGGCAAAGACAATTTGATCCTACGTTCATTTATCATAGAACTTACAGGATCTAGGTGGCAGAGATACAAAGTTCTTCTTCGGATGTCTTCCGCGATGGTATCATATTACTAATTTATTTGTTTTGGGTTTTATCCATCGCCTGTTGAATGTCTTCTTTTGTCTCAAAATTTCATAATGTTTTCAAAGATGGATCTTCCTTCGTATTCAGGAAAAAACTGTGGGTGGGGAAAGACACTTATTCTTACAATAATTTATTTACCGTCTTTACACAAACTTAAAAATGTTGTTAAAATTACTTAAAATTATAACATTTTTTCATTAGATACTAGGTCTTGTTTCATTTTACATTGACGACATGTTTCGATGTTATCTCATCATCATCAGGTCTATCAATTAAAATCTGTTGCACTTCTTGCTCTGCGTATATTGATTTGTTTTATTTGTTTGATTTTTTAAGTCTCTTCCATTAAATTTGAAGGCTGTGCCCGGATGCTTTAAATCGGGTTGTATGTGATGTGTTGTGTCCGATATTACGGGCCAGTAGATTGCAACT